TTAAGTATACTACTATTAGAGTTATGTTGGCTCTTGTTGCTCATTATAATCTTGAACTTGAACAAATGGATGTAAAAACTACATTTTTACATGATGATCTAAATGAAGTGATTTATATGAAACAACCACCTGGTTTTATTGATAAATCTAAAGCGAAAAATGTTTGTTTGTTGAAAAGATCTTTATATGGATTGAAGAAATCTCCAAGATAGTGGTACAAAAGATTTGATAATTTTGTATCTACTGTTGGATTTATCAGAAGTGAATTTGATCACTGTTTATATTTTAAGAAAGATAATGCAAATACTATTGTTGCCTTTCTACTCTTGTATGTGGATGATATGCTTTTGATTTGTCAGAACATGTATGCTATAAATGACATAAAAAGATCTTTACGTGCTGATTTTGAAATGAAAGATCTAGGTCATGCTAAAAAAAAAAATTAGGCATAAAAATAATTAGAAAAAGGCATAATAGGTTATTAACTTTGAAAGAGACTGCCTATGTAGAGAAATTGTTGAGTAGATTTGCTATGCATATCTCAAAACATGTTACTCTTCCTTTGGCCAACCATTTTAATTTAAGTAAGGATTAATGTCCTATAGATGAATCAGTTATTAAACAAATTGAAAGAGTTCTCTATGCAAATGTTATAGAATCAGTTATGTACACTATGGTTTGTACTAGACCTGATGTAACTCATTCTATTAGTACTCTTAGCAGATTTATGGCTGACCCTGACCCAGGGTTTGAACATTAGGTTGCTTTGAAATGGTTGTTGAGATATATGAAAGGTTCTTCACATTTAGGCTTATGTTTTAGCGCCTGTAATGAAGGTGTAGTGCTTAAAAGCTTTGTAGATTCACTTTTGCTGGAAATAGAGACAATGGAAAATCTGCTACATCTTATATGTTTACTTTGTGTAGAACATGTATTAGTTGGAAATCCCAACTTCAACATGTTGTTGCTCTATCCACAACTAAGGTTGAATATGTTGCTGCTACTGAGGCTATAAAAGAAGATTTGTGACTTAAGGGTTTATTATCTGAGATTAATTAACTATATAATCATGTTGTATATTCAGACAGTCAAAGTGTTATACATTTGTATAAAAATTCAATTTTTCATGAAAGAACCAAGCATATTGATATTAAATTGCATTTTATTAGAGGTATAATTTCTAAAGAGGTTGTACTTCTTGAGAAAATTACTACTCAATTAAACCTAACTGATATGGGTACTAAGGTACTACCTCTAAAAAAGTTTAATTCTTACTTGCAAATGTTGAACATTGATGCTGGTTAATTGTTTAAACTGGTGCATGTCCTAATCTTGTTGCTGGGTGGAAAGTTCGTGGAAAGTTCATGGAAGCTGTGGCCATTTAGTTGTTGACCGAAATAGAGTAACAAGCTACTTGAATAACCATTGAGATCAAGGTGGAGATTTGTGAAGGCTGTGATGCCCGCCTAATAGGCGATGATGAAATTGGCCTTCGGCCTAATGCTATTGCCCAATATAACCAACTTAAGTAGCCCAGTGAAACCTGAGGCCCAATACAAGATCCAGTGAAGATGTGTTTGGTGAATGCTACTTTGGTTGTTTTACCTTATATTGAAAGTGCAAGTTTCTCTAGACCGTTGGATTCTCAACTGCTGATCTCGATATATGCTCGAGTGATAATATGAAAAGTTGATTTTTCACTGTAGACTTTATGACTTCTGTTCTTCGAGGGTTCCCAAGAGTCTTCTGTGTTCTCTCTTTCATCTTCTCATTTTGATTTTGAGTAACTCTTTAATCTGGTTTAAGAGTGGTATTTCTTTGTGAAATCCGTTGAAAGAGTATATCATGTATGTGGTAATGGTGAGCTCTTCTAGTCCATAGAAGAAACTGCATGTTTCCTGTGATCGTGAGGGTTCTTAGGTGAATCTGGGTTTCACGGTGTTGATACAAGAGGGTACAATATTCTGAGTTTTCGATCGATGACACTTTGGTGTCCAGTGTTCTAATGGGAAGTTTGTAATATGTTGTATAGATCTGTAATATTTTGTATCTTGGTTTGTATAACACAGGGTATATAATCAATTATGTTGCAGTTTCAGAGTTTGAATACTCCAACATATTTCTTGAACAAGAAAGATGTTCTCTTACTACACTTTTTAGTTTCTCTACCTATATTATTGCCTGAAAATGGCAAAAAAAATTATTTTGGTTGTTTTGAAGAAGGAATGTTGTGGTCTATGACTATAACTAACATTCTAAATGATATATTTGCACCATGCGCCATCATAGAGAAAATAAATAAGGAACAAGTTAATAATTGTGGTGTCTACAAAAAAAAAAATTGTTTTATGTCCA